CCTCAGCGAATTACATTCAAACTTTGCACACGCATTTGTTTTTCAGATCAAATTTAAAATGGCCAACTGGCAGCCATTTTGCTTGAATGAACTCTGCTCCACGCCTTGAACATGATAATCATGCCACACACATAATAATGCACACTAATTTGTTTGACAATTCCGTTCAAGATGACCAAATGGTGGCCATTTTAATCAAACTTTTCTGTAATTCTTGGCCTAGATCTTGGTTATACATGGACATGACAATGTTTTTTTCAGATCGGATTCAAAATGCTATACTAGAACCATGTGCACTGATGGTTTCGGTCTTATATGTACAGCTGACACAAGTATTCTTGTTTTTCAGACAGAAAAGTTGCCAACTCATCTCGCTAACATTGCCTCGATTTGTGTGGAGTGTTTGACAACCAAAATTCAACCCTCAATTCCACAGGGTTGTTGCTTGCCCTTGTTCTATGTAGACCTTTCTAATTGCAATGTTATGCCTACTTTTTAGTTCCTGTTCGGACGTGGAGACTTGTGTCTGGACCTATATCTTTGGCGGATTGATATTTACAATGTTATGCTATTCTCATTTCAGTAAACTACTTTTTAGTTCATGTTCAGACATGGGCCAAAAACGGGACTTATGGATAGACCTCTGTGCGTGACCTACATCTCAGATTGATTACTAGTACATTCAAACTTGATTGGCAGCCATTTTTGTGCTGAAAAATCATCAAAATCTAGCATTCTGTCACCGGATCTCTACAGTTTACAGAATCTTGGTAAATACATTAGAAAATATGGATCCCTGATGCATGTCATTTTGTTTTTCAAAATAGCTGACTGGCGGCCATTTTGTTTTAATGAATGTGGTTCTTGAGCCACATCAGACATGATTTAACTGATTATGTTCATTGTATGTCATAGATATACAGATGGCCGACCGATGGCTATTTTGTTTTCATTAATGCTGTTCCAGAGCAATACATCTCAATATGGACAAGTACTCATCTGACGATCAGATACAAGATGACTGAATGTCAAGCATCAGCTTCTGGATTCATGACATGTATACCTTGAATTTGTAATGAACTATTAATACTAGTATCACAGTTTGTATTCATGCCTAGTGGTTCACTCCAAGTTTACTTTGTGGAGTCCCATTGTAACCTGGATTACAAGGCAATAACTCCATGTTGATTTGTGACGACACAGCAGTCTTTCCCCACAAGTTAGACATAGTTCCAGATAGCCTTGGACTAATATTTTCTACCCAAAAAGCTAGCGGGTATGGAATTTAATGGCAATAAAACTACATTATAATTAGGTATGTAAACATGTATTCATGACTGATCTATATATGTACTGTATATTATAAGAGACAACCTGCAAACATTTATGACTATCAATAGTCAGCAACTCTTATAATTTCTGTTCTGTAAAATTTCATTTGTTCAAGAAAAATAAATTCAGACTTAACATTTTATAAACTGTTGTTTATTATTACAATAGGTTTCTGATCTTTTAAAAATATGCGCTTCAGATTTTTGTTAGAATTTTATAAAAATTAAAGTAAAAATGCCGGTGCACGTCAATTCTGGACCTCGTACATGTACTCTTGCTAGTGTTCAACAAATGTAATGTACACAATTGACAACTCTAATCTCTACCTGTTTAGAATATTAATATATTGCTATTGTACATGATTTATTAAACTAAAGAACAAATTTCCAAGAAAATAATAAAATGACAACATCATAATGACTTATTTTGCAGCATGGGAGGTATTGAATAAACATAAAATTATTTCTATTTACACAACTTTGATTAACATTTGACGATGTTATCATACATATTTACAAAATGGTTTGCAGAAGAGGCTCAGCTTAAACACTGAAAGAAACGCAACTGGTCAATGTAGCAAATAGGAGAACTCCGATTTTCACACTCGGTATGGATGCTGTTAGTCGTGGTTTTCTGGCTGCTTAGTGGAAAGCCCAATAACCTCTGGGGATTGTCTTTAAATCTAGATTATAATCAGAACAACTGTGATGAATCGCCGCAGGTTGGAAACCAGTCAAGTTGTCGTAACCTGCCTAAAAGAATGCAACAATTTCAGCCAGCACAATTTTAAAGCAAGGCAGAAGCAGCTGGAACATTAGCAGGGCTCAAAATTCAGGAACGCCAAGGGAGGGACCCACCTGAATGCCTTACAGAACTTTCTTCATAATTTAAAAGATTTTTGGCATTGAAATTGGGCACCCTCAGCATACCAAAGTTCAAGCCATGCGTTATGTTTATAAAAAAACAAGAAATAAAAGAGTGTGATGTCCACAGCCTCATCCCATGTAACCGATATTGAAACTCTGTGCCATGAGTCAATTCTGATTAGACGGGTCTAGATTCTCCTTCAAACCAGAGCAATTTGTATCATGCTTTCTTGATTTTTCAAAACTTTGACCATCAACATTTTTCTTGTACTGTTCCAGCTCCTTTACAGTTCTTGCATGCGCAGCTTTTATTTGTGCCATTTGCTGTGAAGAAAACAATGGATATATATTCAAAAACATGATACGAATGATAATCCAAAATATACTACAAGGTATATACGAGAATAGCGTAAAGAATGCTGACATGTAATGGAGGTGGTATGATCCTGAGTGCATCCTGAGCAACCAAATTTATATATGTTGTACATGTGAGGGTAATCTCAATAACTATTCTCCAAGTACAGTTTTTGGCCTTTGTTTTTCACGGTGATGGTTGCCTGGATGTCCGCCCCCGAAAATACAGATGAGTAATGATGTCCTGTCATGATTACCCCATGATTACACATGTTTCAAAACAGAGTGCATAGAGGAAAGTTCCACTAATATTGAGCACCATGACCAGTCCTGGATAATTACACCAAGTGGTTGAACTAGGAAGATACCGGTAATGACATTATGGTTATTGCAAGGATACTGAGAAGTTTATGTTCAGACTGTATGTGTACACATCAATAAGTCTGTTTATACTCCTGCTGAACTTTGTGCATATCGTACAATGTATTCTGCAGCATCCTTGCACTACCAGTAACATTATATATAGCTGCACTTTGAAATAATTTCTATTCATTTATTGGGATTCTTTGGACGATACGGTAATAATATTTGATGGTACCAGTATGAATATTCACGAATTGAAAGAAACGTTTTGAAGATTCTCACCCTTGTTTGAATTTCTGTGAGCCACAGTAATCAGGGAATGTCAGAACATTATTCAAAATGGTTAGCAAGGGAAATTCAAACACAAAATGAAATGGAAACGATTCAAGCCAATATATGAATGAACTAAACATTTACAAAATATGTCCATTCAGTTGATATATTTCCCCCCAATTTAAGCAAATCTGGACTACAGGTATCAAATATTTCATATCATAGTCCCAAGACCTCTAAGATACACATGTATATGAATGATCTCAGAGCAAAACTTGAAAATGAGTGATTATAATTAATTCAGGTGAGTGGATAATTAAAGGAGAACATTGACTGGAATTTTACAATAATACATTGTTATAAAAAGTACATCCAACTTAAACAGTTGAAGTAAATATTAGACAGATAAATTGTATTCACCATAAATATATTTGATTGATAATATTTACATTGGATTCACATGTGAAATGACAAACTAATTTACTCATAGTGGTGTGGTTGGAAAGGTTTTTTTTAGTGGTAAGCACAGGATATGTTACAAAATATACAAACTTTTTAACTTTAAATTATTATAACCCATGTATTTGCTCTGATAGAAACACACCTCTTAGCCACAGTTGTGTCAAACTTTTGATTTTTGCAGTGTCTACATTTGAAGTGAACCAAAAGACTAATTTTATTTATAATTGAATTTATTTATACTCAAGTCCCTTCAAGTAAGGTACGGTAGTATATATTTGAAAGGAGTGCTCCTGAGTTGAGCAAAAGTTCTAGCCATCCTGAGGTAATCCACTACTCGTCACAAGGATACTGCACTTTGCACTAAGGACGGGCAAACATGGGGTCAACAAGATTCTACATCCCTCTCGGACGGAATGCCATTCCCCCAACTAGTGATGCTGCAAGTCTGCCAAGTGGGTGATACACTAACCATCACATCACACACTAGATGAGAATATTGTTGTGTAAGAGAATGCACTTCTACTAGAGCAAATACAGTAATACAAGAAACATGCACCATGAGATGGAATAAAAGAAATACAGCCATATTAGTTTCAAGGTAGCCCATTAATGCAGAACACATTACCCTATCTACAAGTATAAATGAGTATTGTGAAATGTGTGTTTGAGTTGCAAGCAAGTACATGCTCTTGATTTGATGTTGTCATCAGATCTGGTGACCCTGCATGCTTGGCCACAAATTAGTTTTAATTCTAAGCGAGTATTTTAGTATCTACATTGTAAATGCATCTTTCAAGAAATCAATAGGTCAATATTGCACTGCTCAACTATTACAATTCCCATAATGTCAGTTTGTTTCATAACACAACGGTTCTGTAAAAGTAATTTACCTCTCTCAGTTGGTTGTTTTCCTTCTTGATTTGCAGATGATACTGTATTTTCTGTTTAAGGTTTTGATGTCCAATAAGTTTGGCATTCTGGGCTGCTAATTCCTCGTTCTTTTCTTCTATTTTCTTTATATCTTTCATGAGTTTTGTTTTTTCTTCCATCGTCTCTTCCAACTGTGATCTGTAATTTTCTTTCTCTTGAAAGTGAGTAATCTCTAGCTGCTGTATTCTCTCCAGTTCTTCTGATATTTCTTTGTTACTATCAAGGAGTATTTCCATATTCACACTCATTTTGGCGATTCTGGAAAATACACAAGTGTAGAGTTTAGGATTCTGTGATGTGGCATCATGCGATGTGATAACTAGTAGAATAGAGTGGGTGGAGTGTAATGTTGGGTAAAGTGGAATTTCAATTTCTCAAATGAACAAGTTTGAAATCTCACTCACTCTGCTTCCAATCTAAGTTTTGATTCTATAGTTTCATCTCTGATCTCATTTGCACTGTAGTACGCCGCATTGGATCGTTCTAGCTCTATCTTAGCACTGTCAAGCTGCTGCTTCATCCTGGCTTCCCTGTAAATATTTTATAAATAAATGTAAACATATATATCAAAGTATACAATTATTTAGGAATCATTTGGCAGAAGTACTGACAATTGGTTCAGTTTGAAAAAAAAACGAGAGAATCTTTGTATTATATGCATTATATTTAGGCACTTTTGTAGTATGCTCATAATGCTTACTGGGTACTCTTCAAGGCATTCAAGTTAGAATTTGTTTTTACAATGAACCTGTACCTGATTGACATATATACAAGAACATTGCATAATTTTCGAAAAAGATGTAGTTTCATATAAAAACACATTACATATATTACAGATACACAAGTATAAGGGCAAATAATTATTTGAAAGAAATTGCTACCTTTCTTCAACTTTATCTTTGTAGTACTCAAACTCGCAGCCCAGTGTCTGATGTTTTGTACTTAACATCTCATTCTCGGCTTTTATGTAGTCAAACTCTGTCAGTTGATGCTGAAATAAATAAATATACTCTTTATTGTGAATCATCCTGGTGTCAACTTTTAAGGAAACTAGTTCAGACATACCACAGATATGTGATGTGCAATGCACCCATTATAATATGAATCAAGTTCATTACATTCTGTAACCTGGAAAGCTCCTATTGGTAGTGTGTGCATTTAACAAGTTTGGTAGCAAGTTAACATCAAACGTCACTTTCATATCATTTTTGACTGATCCTGTATTATTAGTGCTTCACACTGTGGAGATAGGCACTTTATAGGCATGTGATAACGTTACGAAAACCTTAGATACTCAGATCAAGTATAAGAATTTAAAGGTCTTACTTTTAAATTTCGGATTTCTTCATTTTTCTCCACTCTCCCATGTTCAAAGTCTTCAAATATCTTTGCCATTTGGTTTTGAGCTAATTTCAAAGTACAGTAAAGTAAAGGAATATAACACTGCATGGCCAATATTGTCATTCCATTGAATTTAGTTTATTGCCATTTGGAGAGGGTTATCTCACTAACATGCATACCATAACAGCATAATACATAGCTTATACATAACATTATTAGATTATCATGACACTAGATCAGGTTAAATCAATTTGTACTACTGACGTCAAAACAAAACTCTTTCTATACAGATGATACTCTATAGCACCGAGCAGAAGCGAATACAGATGAAGATCAGGCTTGACTCTCGTATTCTTGTTTGTTTTCTTTTTACATAGTAAAAAAACTAGGCAGAATTAAAGCATATCATGAACACAAAATGTGGAGAGAGGGATAAAGCAAGTACAGCTTAAATAGAAGGATATTGTGTTATTTCATTTCTTTGATCATCTATCGTCTTCAATAAATCGTCGTTCTGCGTTTCCACAACAATAGTTGAGTTATTTGCTTCAGCATCTTTGATTTTCTCTTCAAAATCAACAACCAGCTTGTTTTTCTCTTCTTCCATCTCTTTTATCTATTTAATATTAAATTACAAGAGAATTTTGAATTAATTTTTGTAAAAAGTGAGCAGACATGATCAGCTATTATTCATTAAAGGTGACTGGCCATAATCAGTGTTATATCATCTAGTCACATCAAGTGCCAACGCTTATAATCACTGTTACACATCTAGACACATCAAGTGTAATGTACCATATAGATTGCATACAGGAACATTTTTTTTTTGCATTTAATAATGTAAACTGGGGTCCTACGACAAAGGTGTCAGTGGCTTTTGTCTTAATGAATGCAATTAAACCATGAAATGGTGATAATTTCTAGCAACAGAAATTAAACAGTTTACAGTATCTCACCTTCAGGTTTAACTCCGTAATATTTGTAGCCAGGACTTCCTTTTCACCATGTGTTAATTGAAGTAGGGTGGTCTGTTTATCAAGTTCAGCCGTTAGACTCTGGCACTGATCCATAGACTCCTCCAACTCATCCTTCATCAATTCAATCTACAAGAACAAATATAAATGTATTATGTACAACTTGATAATATAATGTACAATGTATGTTTGTGATATACGAGATAAAATAAGGTTTTTGGAAATGAATCCACATGAAATATAATTCACACACTACCTCAACATCGTGTTTGGCTGCTTGCGTCATGAACAGCTCATTTTTCTTGTGAATTTCTTCCTCTAACTTCTTGGTCAATGTAGTAATTTCTTCGTTGGTTTGTTGTAAGGACTCACATTGGCTGATTGCATCATTTAGTTCACTGCTTAAGGTTGCTATGTTGTTGTCCCTATCAGTTACTGTACAACGCAAATCTTGAATGGTGGTAGTCAAACTAGATATTGCTTCCTGCAAAAACAAACAAATGAGAATGTCTTGTCGAAAACAATTCAAAAGCATCTCCCTAGGGAGATGGTGATTAATATTCAAAGTTAATGAAACTCAATACATTGTCCAATAACAAGGCATTAATGCCAAAGATGATACTGCATTTACTTTATCAGCAGCTAGGAGTTCCTGTTAATGTATGGTATTTTGTGAATTGAAATTCCTGTGATGTACATACCTTATCAGAAACTGCCCTCTTAACTAAACTACTGACTGTCAAATTCAATGCATCTTTCTCAGATTGCAATTTTGAAAGATTTTCTCTCTAGATTGAAGTGGAAAGAACAAATATTGTTAAAAATAAAGGGTGTGAATGAAAGGCACAATTAACATTTTAAACATTTCAGTTAATTTTGAACCAAATCGAAATAATTTAGTTCAAATGTTAAAAGTTAAGTCAAAATCTATGAAAAGATATAGAAAACGTTATGCTGATTCATTTTGTGAAAAGTGAATCATTCAAAAGATCAAGGGCTAAGAGGTTAACAGAAATTACAACTTACAAGTTGTTGACACTGGGATGCCAAATCAACATTTTGAGATTTTAGTGATTGGTTGTCATCTAATGCTTTCAGTAGTTCCTTCTCTTTGTCTTCTTGTTTTAACTGTGCCTTCAATGCCACACACTTCTCTACCTCTGTCTCCAGCTTCTCAAGTAATAGCTAAAAAAGTAGAATCACAAATTAAATCAGAAAAATTGTCATACACAACTCTCAAAAAACACACATGGTTATAAAGAACACATTTTATCTTCTTCCTTTAAAAAAGGATAGTTCTAGTCATCATGTGTATTAGTTAAAAATGCATGCATATTTTTAAAAATATTGTCAGGATTTTCTAATTTGATTTTCATGAAAAATCTCGATGGCATAATTTTACAACAGAAATTAAAAAAAAATGTGCCCACATCAATTTTAGAAAAAAAAAATTGAAATTTAGTTCCAACCTGCATGTGACTTTCTAATTGTTTCACTTGTTCTTTTTCTTTATCAAGCTGAGTCGTTAGATCTTCAAGCTGTTTTCCTTGCAGCTGCTTCTCCATTTCTGATGTTTGATACTGATTTTGGCAGACATCTCGTTCCTCTCTGAGATCATCGATCTGTTTCTGTAATTCAAACATCTCTGACTCGATTCGTAGTACTTTCTCACGAAGACATGCTTTCTCTTCATTGTGTTCCAACTGCACAGCTTGTTTAATTTGCTTCTCTTCTTCAATCTGTCTGTCAGCAGAATTTAACAAAATGCGTAGATCTTCTACTTCACTTTGTAGAACTAGAAATCAGAATAAAACATTTAATTCTGGAAACCTAAAACCTGTGGAAGCCTTTATTGGAACGTCACTATTCCACCTAACTATTCATGTGACAATTGCACTTTGTCAGTAATTTAATTTGTTTTCCACTGACCTATGACCATGCATACATGTAGTGCTGTAAAATATGTGGGATGAATATGATACAACGTAATACAGGGTATTTAAAGAGAGTAGTCACTCCACTCACCTATCACTATCGCAAGTCACAGATCTAACTATCACTCGCAATTAAAACTATTTTCAAAGAGATTTTAATTTTAATTTTGATACCACATAATTCAACTTGCATAAATACAATGTGAATGTTAGATTATATCCAATGCTGGTGGGGGGGGGGGGGGCAAAATTAAATTAGACAGCTGCAGCCAAACACTACACCTCTATGTACATTGGCGATTACAAAATTCATATAGTTTAGATTTAGGGAGTTCAGCTTGTAGTTTATTTACAGAAACATAAGTATAATACCCAAATAAGTTTGTATAGGTTTGTTGGCATTATGGCAAAGTATATTAGAGTTTGGAAAAATAATGTTCATAGACTAATAATATGACAGAACCC